CCTTGCCAGCCCCGCCCGGTAGGGAATTCTGGGAGTTGAAGTCCACTCATCTTAAAGTGGCCAAGTTTGGACAACACTGCTATAGGTCAACAGTGATTTTGCTACTAACTGTTAGGTAGCCAGCATTTCAGTTCCATTTGCTACCTCCAATATTTTGCCATTTCAGGGTATTGTGGGAATTATGACCAATTGTGTAGCCAAGGCATACTTCTTGGGAAGGGGTTCTGGCAGAGCCAAAGGGCCAATGCTGCTGACTGTATCAAGCAACCTACCTGGCAATTTTTTGTCTTGCAACCTAGACCAGGAATTTTAGTTCAACTTGCTATCAAGTCATTAGCAGATTTGCTATCCCTAACAAGAATGTTGTAGGAGAGAATGTTATCTGTGTCTTGAAATTTACGTCATCAATGCTTGTTTTTATGCATTGGCATGCCGATTTAAATCAGCCAGTTAGACAAAAACCAATTCTGAAGCACAGTTTATTTCAGACATGATGTGTGTAATGCAAGGGCATGCTCCTTATGTGGAAGAAATGCAGGCCAGGGAAAATGAGGCTGGGCATACCCATTAATGAATTGAGGAACCAATTAAAATGCATCCAATCTCCTCAACTCTATCACATTTATTTTAACTACCCAATCTAAGCTGACTAGCCAATTACAACACTGTAAGCAAAGCAAATGGATTATGAAGCTGTGCAACCTAGTCTCACCTTTCTGAGAAGAGGTCTCCTCTGGGTCTTGGCCCTTCTTCCACATCTCGGCCAGTTTCTTTCTGTAGTAGAGAAATTCTGGGCTGTTCTTATCATGCAGGAACCTGAAAGCAAGAAAGAAGGGGGAAAGATGTATTTAAGGCTACTTTCAAGATGGGAACAGGGGGCTGCAGACCAATGTATCTCCAGGTCCCCAAATTAGGAAAGGCTGATGTAAGGGGTCCTGGATATGCCTTGGGAGGAGAAGGAAAGTTCCATGGATGGAACCATTAAGAGATAAGACACCAGAAGCTTAGGGCTTTTAGTGATGAGCATGGACCCAATCCCTGTCAACTGAACCCTGCACATGGAGAAAGAGGAAACAACGTACGCAAATGCTGGGTTATCCTTGCAGTCTTCCAGCGCGACCTTCTCCATATCTGGGCCCCCTTCGGCCACCACCCTGGCCAGCTTCTCAACGACTCGGCGGGTCCGGATGTCCTCTGGGGGACAAACTTTAAGCAGGCTGTCAGTACAGGGGGCTCTCTACTCACACACCCAACAGGCACATTACCTCTAAGAGCCATGAGTCGGCAGGGAGAAGGCAGGGTGGGGAATGAGAAAAGGATGAAATGATGGAGACATGGTGGACAGCAACATAAGCCTGACGCTTTTAATCCGGGAGGGGAGAAAGGAAGGTGCATGGGAAAGACATGTGGTAGGGCTGAGGTTCGTACTTCCTCAGTTTTGGAATAATAGCTAGTAGATTCACCCAGGGCCCGAGGCAGGTTCTACAGCAATAGAACCCAATGCCAAACCAGATCTTTGATCTGACCCTGCAAAAGGGCTGCAGGAAGGAAAGCTGAGATTCAACACACTTGAGTGCCTCTGAATACCATACAAGGGGTTTAATTTTTCAGGTGTGCCAAAGATAAGAACTACCAATGAAACAGAAGCCTTACTATCTGCATTAAGGCAAGGTTGAAGAAACCTGCAACTCCATATATTGCTGAATAATTAACTCATAGCATCCCAACAATGGGACACGCTGGCTGAGGCTCTGGGAATTCAGCCACAGATTCCCCTCTCACTTCTGATTTCAGGTAATGGCTCTTGGGATTATACAGTCCTGTTCTGAAATCCAAGAATAGCCGTCTGATTAAACTAAAAATGTAATCTTTCCTTAATTCTAGTTAAGCAAATAGAAGTCAGACAGAAAGTCCAGTCTCTCCCCTTGGTACAGGTAGTCCTCGAGTTATGACTGCAATTGGGACCAGGATTGCCATCGCTAAGCGATGTGGTTGGAAAGTGCAACGTCACGTGATTGCATTGTTTAGCGATGGCAATCCAGGCAGTTTCAAGATACATGGGTCATTAAGTGGAAAGTGGAGGGAGTCCCAGGTAAGGAGCATGGGGGTGCTGCAGGGGGACGGGGGAGGCCCAATGCAGGTGGTGCACGAGTTGGGGGAGGAGGCGCTTGGTGTGGCACAAGCTCAGAAAGGCTGTGGAATGAGGGTGTGGGGTGAGTGCAATCACAGGATGCTGTGGGAATGGGCAATGGGGTGTGTGTCTGCAAGCACAGGGAGACCAGAGAAAGAGGACACAGGGTATGTGTATGTGATCACAGGAGGCAGTGGAAAGAGGGCGCAGGGTGTGTGCATGAGAGTGCAGTGAGGCCGTGAAAAGAGGGTGTGGGATGTGTGTGAGCGAAGGGGAAAAGGAGGGCATAGTGCATGCAAGTGAAGAAAGGCTGGGGGAAGGGGAAGATTTACCCCAACGATTTGTGACCTTCCTTGCCAGCTTCCCATTGACTTTGCGATCACATGATTGTGGGACACTGCAACTGGTTGTAAGTGCGAGCTGGTTGCCAGGCACCCAAATTTTGTTCATGTGACCACGGGGGTGCTGCAATGGCTGGAACTTCAAGTATCAGTCATAAGTCCTTTGTTCAGCACCACTGTAACTTCAAACAGTCGCTGAACGAATGGTCGTAACTCAATAACTACCTGTAGTGCCTAAACTGGCCTGCTTTTCCTGGCAGAACTCCAGCTAGAGCCTGGCCTTCAGCACTAGGTGCCTGCCTGGCTGTGGAAGAATGAAATCAAAAGAATTAGCTTCTGCTTTTAGGTACTGAGGCTTCCTGTGTCATCTGAATCAGGAATTATGATTGACGGAAACTAAGATTAGTATAAATACATCACCTTTCAAAATTAGAAAAAGTTTGTTTAAAAATAACACAGATTAATCAGTGACCTGATAAATAGAGATCAGTTAAAACCTCCTGGTTGTATATAAGGAAGAAAGAGGAGAGATGGAATGTATGAGTTGAAGGAGCCTAACTGTATCTTAATGTAACATCTGAGCACTGCCTGCTGTACGCCTTCTCCAAATGTCTCTCATAGTTGGCCGCTCAAAAGAAATCATCTGACAAGATTTTGTAGTTGTCTTGGACAGGGGAGAAGGCTGCTAGATATCTAAATTGTAGTAAGTATTTTTTCAAAGCAAATCGGGTGGTCAGGGCCAAGCTTCATCAAAGCAAAACAGTCACGGGCCATGAAAGCAACCTGTTTTGCCACAAGGTATAGTATTTCCTTGCACCATGATGTCAGAAGTTCTGTTAGGCATTACAAAAGGGAGAACTGAAAGCTAGATCTGTTTAAGTATGATTTGTTGAATAAACCAAAAAGGGCTGGGTTCATACATCATAAAAGTAAAGATAACTTGAGCTAGACACTTAGTAACCAAGTGGATATCACCCATATATTTTCTCAGCAATGATATGGAAGTGGTTTGTTATTGCCTTCACACCATATTAAGCCAAATTTAAAACAAAAACAAAAAACTAGTTTCCACAAGCTAGCCAGCCTAGCGTGTTCTGCAGGCCAAGTCTGTCTAGCTGGTTAGCTTACTGTAAACCATAGTTTCTAGCTTACCACAATATGATTCCTGTCGATGGCCTGATTCATGTGCCATGTTGAGGTTAGGCCTAGTGTGACATCTGAACCTGAGCTATAGGTTAAATTGTACTTAAGGAGGAACACTCTCACCCTGATTTGAAAATATGGTCTGAAGTAGATTTATTCACCTAAATCCATAATATAGATTCCAGAGTGTTACTGAAATCTCAACATGGCCAGTTCTGGCCTCCAGAAAGACAGAAGACTAGAGCAGCCCCCAAATGACAGGCAAGGCATGTTTGTTTTTTTTAAAAAAAGGACGCAAAAGCACTTTGGGGCAGGGGAAAGGGTGGTTCAGCCTTTACTCACAGATTGTCTAGAGTGACTCCAATTCAAACCGAACCACTTTGGGTATTTTTTAAATGTCAAAACAAACTTATAAAAAACAAACAGGAATTTTAGCTAAACAGCCTCTGATAGGATATTGGCTGACATGGTAGTCAACAAAGAGCCTGCAGCTGGCAGTGATCTGTCATGTTGTCCTGCACTAATCCAGTGTCTTACTATGTTGTGCAAACATGTTCAGTAATTGGTTATAGGACCTTTTAGCCTGCAGTGGCCTTTCAGCTTGGTTATTGAACCACAGTGACATCATTCTACTTACTTATTTTCTCCCCTTTTCTCTCTGCTATCCTTCCCACAAAACTGCCCTGGCAGGATGCTAATGCTACACGTCACTCCGCATTTGAGCAAAATATTTTTAGCTTGTAAACAAAACGAGCACTTTTTTTTAAAGAAGAAAGTGCTAAAGTACCTCAGGGCAGAAGCCTCGCATTTTCAGAAGTTCCTTGAACACTGATAGCATTACAGAGAAATGGATGACACGCCACCAGGAAACTTACTTTTGATTTCCAGCCACTGCTCATAATCCTCTTCCTCCTCTTCATCAGGCGACTGGAAAACACTCAGGCGGTTCGTTACTGGTGTCTGTTTGGAATGGGTGTAGTTTTTGACTTGATTCAACATACTGCTCACGCTAAGATTGGGACGCTTCCCAGACAAGGTGGGTTTCTTTACTGTACTCGCAGGGGGAGGGTGGGCAACAGATGTCTCTGTGGAACCGGATGAAGCATCTGAACAATTGAAGGGTTGGGGGAGAGAAGAGGTGCAAAGATTGGTATAGTACAGCATTAGGAGCATAAGATACTTCAGATCCCTGCTCAGATCTCTCAGATGCCTTAGCCAAGCAATTTTATTCACCGTCCATCCCACACATTTGCAGCATGGAAAGACTGGGGCATTCCTTAGAGCACAAGACGATCCCTGCTGGATCATGCCAAGAAACTGTTAAGCCCAAAATTTGGAGACGCATAGTGCTCAGCAAACTACATTCCAAAAATCCACCAATGTGGACAAGAGGACGATCATCCTCTCCTTCTGTTGCCGTCCAGAGCTGGACTTTAAATTAGGGTGTCTGTGACTCTGCAAGTAGCAAACAGCCATCAGGACCAGCAACCGCTGACAGCGCTGTCCTCCACAACTTTGTCCAACCTACTTCTAAAACTAACTAGATTGGTGGCTATCACCACCTCTGATGATAGTCATTTCCATAACAATGTGTTCATGAAGTGCTCTGAATAAGTAAAAGATGGCATAAAGACAGCATTACAGGTAGTCCTCGGCTTATGATGGAAATTGGGACTGGAACTGCTGTCACTAAGTGATGTTGTCGTAAAGTGCAATGTCACATGACAATGTTGCTTAGTGACCACAGTCCCGGCAGTCCCGATTGCTGTTGTTAAGCGGGGACCTCACATGACTGCAACTTCCAAATTCCTGCTGGCTTTCCCACTGACTTTGCTTGTGGGAAGCCAGCAGGAAACGTTGGGAATCACAATCACGTGACTGCAGGGATGCTGCAATGGCTGGAACTCCAAGGACTGGTCTTCAGTCCCCTTCACTCAGTGCCGTCATAACTTTGAACAGTTGCTGAACAAATGGATGTAACCCAAGGACTACCTGTATTATTATTATTACATTGGCATAAATTGCAGCATTATAATACTACTCCGCAGTTGAACATTTTATTTATGCCTTTCTTAATCAAAGGCTTCAATGCATTTGGGGCCATAACTGAAGTCCTTTTTTATCAGTTCAATCTACCTCAGAAAGTGGTTGCAGTCAGGACAAAATTAGGAAGCACTCCAAAAATGCTATCTTGAATTTCCTTTGTTAAAGAAAAAGCTGGATTAAATGTAAACAGTCAACAAACATCTGCCACATTCTATTCTGCTTTTGAACCATAGCATACAGCTGGTCTGAATGTTTTAAACTTTCCTTTCTACTTCAATATTTAAAGTAAGAGACTGGGGTCTGTTAGACTTCTGACAAAAACTGGATGTGAGGAAAATGAACTGTCTCATAGATATAAACAATTACACTCAGGCATGTGATAGAAATGTAAACTAAAATTATTTTAAATAAGCAAACTCACAAGAGCTTAAGGGAATGAGGGACCTGCAAGATGCCTCCATAATTAATAAGCAAGAAAAGAAGACAGGTCTTCTTTTCACTAGTTGCTTGTGGCGGAGGCAGGCAGGCAAGTAGGCAACTTGGGCCTCACCCATCTCTTGGTCTGATGAAAAGGAGCTGCCAGCCCTTCAAGAAGTGCAAAGATATCAATTTCCAGAATCCCCAACCAAATGGCCATGTTAGTTGGAAATTCTGAAAGCTGTGTTTCCAATATATCTGGAGAGTGTTCGTTTGGGGAAGCCAGTGGGCAGCTTTATGTTAATCCCCACTGTGGAAGCTCACTGGGTGATTGTGGGCCCATTCATGTCAGCTCCACCCATTTCAGACAGGTGATGTAGTAGAGGATATAACTGGAAGACAAAATACTGTTTATGCTGCCTGGAAGTGGGATGGAAAACTTGCAAAAGTGGGTTATAATTCTAAATAGCTAACAACAGCACTTGCAAGGGAGTATCAGCCTAGACTGAACTAGATATAAATGCCTATTCAACACCCACGAATTTTGTTCTGGTCTTCAGGAGCTCTTCCTCCCATTTCTATCTTTCCCCTGCATTCCATTTTCCCTTGTCTCTGGAGCTGGCTGGTCAGGGACTTGTGTCGCCACTCCTGGCCCTGTTTTTAATTTTGTTTTATTGAGGAAAGAAGAATTGTTTGAACAAGGAAGTTAAAATATACCACACACATGAATATAAATGAGGATAATTAACCCATCCCCTTAAAATAGTGGCACTGAAGAGCTGGACAGTACTCTGGAGGTTGGATTTTTTAAATCAGGTTCTGCTGAGGATCTGAATGGGTTCCAGGGGAGTAAAAGGAAAACAACCCCCCCCCTCTGCAAGGGACTCATGGGGAAAAAAATTAAACACACTCAACCACCTGCTTCTGCCTTGATGCAGTTTCTCCCCTCTTGCTTGCTACACCCTCAGTGTTTGCAAGTGTGCTGTGCAGGAGACAACTGGCTATCTTTCCCTCATCACATGCTCATGCGGAAAACCCACCTGCCCCCAAACTCTATTTCTAACTTGCTTAGCAGCACAAGAGCAATAGCAGTGAATCCTTCCCTCTTCATTTTCCACATTGCAGACAGCTTTTGTGAGTAGGCATGTCCATGTCCCCAACAGGAACGTCCCAAATAAGTGTGAAACTCAAGTGTTACTTTACATATATTGGAAATATTAATTTTGCATTTATAATAAGCAGTTTACTTTTTGTTTGGTTGCCAATCATTAATGCTTGCCTCTTGATCAGGGGTTCAGGGCAATTCTTTTAACGGGTTCTGTGGTGTGAAAAAATCTGAAACCCCTATTGTAGATCAACAAGTGCTAACGTGGCAAAAAAAACAAAACAAAAAACCCTTACCACTTCCTAGTTTTTCCTTCTGTAGCTTCA